CTGCGAATGCAGCTGATTAGAACATTACTATATATAGTGGATAGGATGCAGGACATCGCTATACCCACTACACAGGTAAATACATGTGTTATACGCATTCTACATCACTATGTGTACTGTATGCACATTTATACTGCATACTACATATAAACTGTAGCGCGTACTACTATATGTCATATATTATGAAGCGGCATGATATCTGGTTTGTATATAGTATAATCAGTGTAGTGACAAACTACACAGCATATCATATCAGTATAAACGCTATATACAGGAAACATTTTAGAGTATACTGCCATGTATGTTATACACAGTGGCACGTATGACGAACAAAGTTCGGTTCGAAATGCTAGTAAAACGTTTTCATAATGTGTTTTGCGTTGTTATCTCATTTATGACTTATTGAAACACACTATCATCTAAAACGCTTAAAGAACTATTCTCAACGTTACATGGTGGTACAGTGTAAAACTTCATCCTGCATATGATATATAGTCCGCATAGTGATATACTACATAGCATATTGCATATTACTATACGGAATATATAGTATACCACAATGTATATGTACAACATACACATTGGAAAACTCTATAATCGATATATAACATACGCAGTCCATAGACTGATATACTACACAGAACACTGAATATCGCCGTACAGATTACATCTGCTATCACTGACTATTTAGGATACATATATTTTGTTTAAGCTGAACTGCTGATTGTTTTTCAGTTGCGTTCACTCTCTCGATTCACTCTGCTGACCTTTCCAACAGCTAATCCACCGGCTACGCTGCAAGCGACTCCGACCACTTTGGCTACCAATGTTTTCAAACGTATGACGCCAGGAATCTGCACGCCGTTCAAAAAGCACTTCACCTGAGGTATGCCGCTTCCAGCAGCGACGGGCTGAAAAATAAGATCGAAACAGTCACAAAATGCTCACCGCCGAACCCGAGAGGAGACACCGAAGAGGCGGAAAAACTTACACCTGAAACGCAGAGCACCATCAATACTGCGATCAACACCAAAGCACAGTTCCAACCAACCCACACGAGCAACGGTAGGTACAGGTCGCTGTCGAGATGCGCTTCCATCACTGATTAAAAAGGTAATTTGTGGCAGAAATTGGAAATAAATAAAAAAAAACAAACTTGAACGAACGCACAAAAATTTCACGAACGACACATGAAAGACAAACGCATGGATGCCGACCGCGATGACAGCCGTCGAAGCTCCAATGAAGAAGCACACCACCCAACGGTTCAGTGCCATTCGCCACAGCGACAGCTGAAACGCTTCGTTGTCGTGAAAGTAAAAATTTAAACGAGCTATATGCTTATGAGCACCATCATAACTAGCTATCCTAGATATCATTCAGCATTACCTGGTACCCCTGCGACTTGTCCATCTGTTTCTGCAGCTCATTCTCGTTCAGGTCGTAATCGAGGCTCTCGTAACGATCGCTCAGAGCCGGCATGTACTGCAATTT